TAGTAGCTACCATCGTATACCACCTTATCTCCCTCCTCCTTTTGTTTATTATTTCCAATAATGATTCTACTAATGAATGAATGAATCATTGAATGAAGTGGGGACGACTCATTCCTTCTTCAACACAAGACAACACCACCAACAGCAGCTTCAACCTCTTCCTCCCCAAATATAATTTCCTTCCTTCCTTTCTTCCTTCCGCCCACTTTACCGCCTCCCATGTTCTCTACTACTTGTCTCCACGCGCTTTCCCCCCTTTTTTCATCCCCATTGCCGCCCCGGCGGCATGCAGTTCTCTCTTTGACACCATGACCAAATTCAGTTTTTCCTCCCTCTCCCCACCAGTTTTCTCCTAGTTGACTATTGAGACCTCCTCTCCTCTGTTGCTTTTGCTTCCCATCAATGGACGATCCCGGAGGATGGAAAACAAGTTCCCATCTCTTCTTCAGCAGAATGGTCTTCATGTTAATGGTGGTGGCATCATTGTCACTGTTTCATCAAAACCTCACGCCCTCCTTTGCTCTCAACCCTCAAGGTAAGGCGTTGCCTCATTTTTGTATATCCATTCTTCTCTAGGAGTCTAAAGTTCGAGTCTTTACTATGGGTCTGTTCTGGGTTTTGATTGAACTGAATTGGGGGATAGGGATGGCGTTGTTGAGATTCCGGGAGAAAGTGGAGAGCGACCCATTTGGAGCTTTGTCCAGCTGGAATCGTCACGATCCTGATTCCTTTTGTTCTTGGTTTGGAATTCACTGCTCTGCTTCCGGCCAAGTTGTCAGCTTGTGAGTTTTCCATTGATCCTTTGAGAAACCAGTCCTTACCACTTTTTTCTTGCTTCTGTGATCTCTGAAATTTTGCTGCTTTACACCTTACAATAGACTCTCTCTGCAAATTCGACATGGGTTTGGCTTGGTTGTGCTCAATTCATACCACTCAAGTTCTTGTGAATGCAACATCTTACTCAATTGATCAAATAACTAGACCATTTGTTTCCATGGATATTGAGGTTCTGATCCAACCCCTTGGGTAGAAGAAATCTCAGTAATGTGGTTTACAATATACAAGAAATTGGAATGCTTTTTTCGAGTTGGGGAAGGTAGATGGGGAGTAATTTCACCGCCATGAGAGTACAAAAAGTAATGAATGTTGATGGTGATGTACAGTATCGGTATTCAATAGTTAGGTGGTGGTTCTCAATTCAAGATCTGTCACCTTTCATTTATGTCTTCATCTGCATTCTTCAACTACCAAAGAAATATCAAATCCTAAAGTGGATGTTATTCACTGTTTGTGCGTGCTTGTAACAAATGGCTGATCAAGAAACCATTAAAATCATAATAATGGAAGTACAAATTGGTGATTGGTTTTGTCTATTTTTCACCTTGATGGGAAAAGCATAGCTCTCTTACTCTTTGTTTTTGGTTCTGTGTATAATCCTGAACGCAGATCTGTTGCAATCTTTGTAGGCATTTGCAAGATCTGTGTTTGAGAGGGACATTGGCTCCTGAGCTGCAGATGTTGACTCACTTGAAATCATTGTATGTTTCTATCTTTCCTTTTCCTATTTGTTTTCTTCTTGGTTAGACCCCCCCATGTTCCCATTTCCTGACAGTTGGAGGATAAGTTTGGAAACACCTCAGAGAATGAGTCAGATTCATGATTTTGGAATATTTGTCTGCCTGCAGAATATTGAGGAACAATTCATTTATTGGGAACATTCCTAGAGAGATTGCAGAGTTGAATGCGCTGGAGGTGTTGGACTTGGGATATAACAACTTCAGTGGACCATTTCCATCTGAATACTTTGCCAACAATCTCTCATTGACAACCCTGTAAGTTGACTTTTTCTCCAGCTCTCCATACACAGCACATGTTCTTTTATTTTATAATCTTTACTAAACATGGTTGAACCAATCAACATGATATCTGCCTGGATGCAGTTTACTTGACAACAACAAATTACTCGATGGCATTTCTCCCGAATTCGATAAGCTTCGGATGGTTTCCAACATTCAGGCAGACGAGATCCAATGCAGAACTGCAGCTCATGATAGGTATAGCAGGCAATAATCTTATTACCTGAATAGCAAACTCATGCATGAATTTTATTTCATTGACAAATTCTGCCATGTTCTTTAAAAACATTACTCAAAGACATTGATGGACTTCTGATCTCACCTCAGAAGTCTATATTTTTCAGTTAGGTTTGCTTGTATACAATTAGTTTGCAATATCATCTCCATGTGCAGCTTCAAACTTTAGTTTTTTATTTATCAGGAAGTCAGTTCAAGATGGTGCTCACAGGATGCTACTACAGTTCCGAAACACGCCATTAACGTCTGCACCCTCACAGCCTCCGTCATCACCTTCACCAGCACCTTCTGGGTCGCCCTTCTCAGCACCCTCTTTCCCTCCATCACCATCACCATCCCCTTCACCATCTCCATCCTTCAGCCCGGCAGGAAGCCCTTCTGGTGGTCTCCCTTTGCCTCCAACTTCAGCCTCAATTGCACCATCTTCATCCGATCCACCAGCTACAGTTTTTGCACGTCCAACTGAGGGCCCTGGTTCTACTGCTACAGAACGTAGTAGGAACAATGGCCGCCGTTCGAGAGAAAGGCATCATCGCGCACCTATAGTTGCCGGTATTGTTGGCGGGTCTCTGTTCCTTTTGTTTTCAGCAATTGGACTCACCTTCTTTAGAAGCAATAAGGTAGTTACAGTCAGACCTTGGGCCACTGGTTTAAGCGGACAACTACAAAGGGCATTTGTAACAGGTCATCCGAATCTTCTCCACATTTCTCAGTTACAAAACCCTATTAATGGTTTATTTCTATGTGCTGAGGGTTCATTTTGATTGTGCTCTCTGCAGGTGTACCAAAACTGAAGAGGCTGGAACTTCAAGCAGCCTGTGAGGACTTCAGCAACATAATCGGCACGTTTGCTGATGGCACAGTGTACAAGGGAACCTTGTCGACCGGGGTTGAAATAGCTGTGACATCTGTTGGAGTCTCGTCTAAGAAAGACTGGTCGAAGAATTTGGAGGCACAGTTCAGGAAAAAGGTTTACTCCTCAAACCCTGAAATTGGAACACCTTCCTGAGAGATTTCTAAAATGAGTTTCTAAACCATGCTAGTTTCTTTTCTCACTTTCCCTTCCAGATTGAGACATTATCCAAAGTGAACCACAAGAATTTCGTCAATCTGATTGGATTCTGTGAAGAGGATGAGCCTTTCACGAGAATGATGGTCTTCGAGTATGCCCCCAATGGAACCCTCTTCGAACATTTGCACAGTAAGTAATATGTTCTCTTTCTGTATTTCTTTCAAGCATGTTAGTCAAACCTCAAATGAACTGGTCTCATGTGGACACGGGATAGCACGTTAGAGGTTAGGGGTGGCAAATAGGCTGGACTTATATGGGTTCACTGCCTGATGGGTCGGTCGTTGGGGGAAGAATGGCAGTCTCTTGAGAACGTGATGGGAATTGGAACATATCTCTGTCATTTATTTGGTGCTAGAGCTATTGAGTGAAGTCTTTAAATGATGATTAATAATGTGCAGTAAAAGAAGCAGAACACTTAGACTGGGGTACAAGACTCCGTATAGCAATGGGCATGGCCTACTGTCTCGAGCACATGCACCAGCTGACTCCACCAATTTACCATGAAAGCCTCCGATCATCGTCCATCTACCTCACCGAAGACTACGCAGGCAAGATATCCGATTTCAGCTTCTGGAATGACGTGACTGCAGCCAAGATGATGGGAACGACAGAGGCAATCGAGCTGCTGGAATCCCCACCAGCAGACGCAGAGAGCAATGTGTACAGCTTTGGAATGGTCCTGCTCGAGATGATAACCGGTCGAATCCCATATGCATCAGCCGATGGCTCTCTCATCGACTGGGCATCCAACCACTTGAGAGCAGACCAACCTGTAGGCAAAATGGTCGACCCAACTTTAAAAGCATTCCAGCATGACGAACTCGTGAAACTGGTTGAAGTGATCAGGAACTGCATTGAACCTGACGTGAAATTGAGACCGACGATGAGAGAGGTAGCAGAGAGGTTGAAGGAGATAACTTGCTTGGATGTTGACCGAGCCACACCAAGGTTGTCACCTCTGTGGTGGGCAGAGCTCGAGATCATGTCTACTGATGGAAGCTGAGAGTGCTGAGAGAGGTATGTATGTTATAACATGAAACATGATGAGTTATGTATTGTTGCTTGTCTGGTTGTCAGTCTGATTATTTCATTTCTTTGTTCCTTGTTTTTTTCTCCCGACGAATTCTGGAGTGTATGCTAAGAGATGATGATTTAGTAGTAAAGGGGTGACTGACAGTGGGTTCGAAATGTAAAGAAAGCACAGAGAGTGAGTGAGCATGATCTATGTATATATAGCCGGGGGAAAACGAGATCTCGGATTTGATGTGGGGCCTTTGGTTTGGTTCTTTTCTAAGAGTTGCTTGTATAGAAAGGAATTGTGCTTGCAAGTTGTGCAACATCAAATAACAATCTCAGTTTCATATATAAAAAGATGTTCCAACTATCTTCATCTTTCTACTGTATTCCTATGTTTTGTTGAGTATATTACTAGTCTATCAGAACGAATGAACTAACTGCAGATGTTCGTAAAACTAAAGGTTCAAGCTCGGTTCACTTTTTGTGTAGAGATCGATTGGATCAATTTGAAAAGAGATGGATTGTGTAAATGCATGGATCTGGAAAGAACTGGATTTCAAATTTGTGTTGCTTGGTTGTGATTTTAGGTGTGTGTTGTCAATGACCCTAATATCCTCATATATCACAGAGCAACTCTCAGTCTAGGTGAATTTGAAGGCTGGGATTAACATAAATTGATGAGGATAAAAGAGACAAACCACAGTGATAGATTTTCAAACAATGATTTGTGAAGAAATCTTCTACCAAGGGATTTGTGCTCAAATCATCAGCAAAGATGCAGTAACAAAACTATAGGATGGTATGTGATAAGAAAAAGAGTTTCATTAGTCATTAGAAGCACAACGTACTGACCAGAAAATTGAAGTTTTAATTTATATCTCCTTGGTGAGCTCTGTTTTTATGTACAAGCTGAATGGTGTGACCAAATTCAATAACACAAAACTGCAAAAAGAACTGTACGGTTGTGGGAGAGAAGAATGACAGCTTTAAGTTACAACAGAAAGAACCTTTCTTTCACCTTTGAATGCCTTGCCTGCTGCTAGCTATAGCTGAGAGTGGAACCTTTCTTTCAAACCTACAATTTCCATGGAGGCTGGCTACTCCATGTTCCATTTCTTCCACCACTCTCTTCCAGCATTCAGCTCCATTGTTTCAATGAACCCTGCTGCCACAGAGCTTCTATTTCCACATCTTGGTGGGCCAGATGACAAGTGTGCGACTTTCTTCTTCGCCGTCTTCTGTCTTTCTTTGACCATCATCATAAACAAAAATAGAGACAAGGATTAGCCTTGATCGAGTCAAATCTCATCCTGCCGAGCGGCTCTTTCTTTGGTCCTGTTGTACAGGTCAAGAGTGTCGAGGTGGTTGGGATCAAAACATAGTGCCGCCTCACAGTCCTTTAGTGCAGCAACAATTTCTCCCATGGATTCATGAAACGCTGCCCGAAGGTGAAGCATTTGCAGTTCAGGTTTGAAAGCTATCGCCTTGCTTAGCTCTTCCACAGCTTCTGCTTCCTTCTGATCGTCCATCAGCACTGGAAACCAATCAAAGCAGCTTGTCAGCTCAACAAAATGAAATGAAGAACAAAACGGAAAGGGAAGACTGGAAGAGAGCTCTTGAGATGCTGATAAACTCACCAGCAGCTCTGTATCTGTAGGGGTAAGTTCTCAGTGGGTCGAGTTGTGAGGCCACGTTGAGATCACTCTTGGCCATCTCACGGTCACAGTACTCGGACCGTTTCTCGTAAGCTGACGCATTGCCATATGCCGTCTCTATCAACTTTGTCATCTCGTCAAATGCAGCCTTTCGTTGGTTTTTGAGCTGGTAGACTCGTGCCAATCCTTGGTGGGCTCTCGTGTGCTTGATGTTGAGTGCATTCGTGTAGCAGTCTGCAGCCTTATCCAGCTTCCCGCAGTCGACGTACATACTCCCCAAGTTGTTTAATGCCTACAGATAAAGAAATCAAATCCAGGGCAATTCAATCGAGAATGAAGATCCAAGGAACATAGATTGAGTAGAGAGAAACATATGAAACGTGACTTACCTGCCCTTTTCGTAGACCATCCGATGGGCATTTGAGAGCTTCCTCCAAGAGTTGAATGACGTGAGATGAAGACAAAGGATCCAAGTTTGTATCAGCCAAAATGTAAGCTTTCAGGAAGAAAGCTTCAAATGATCTCTGTATGTGAAGGGATTTCTCGGCTTTGGAAAGCGCTTCTTCCCTGTGACCGATGTCATAGAGAATCCATCCTTCGTAAATCAGCCTCTCGTGTTCCGAAGCTGCATGGTTTCTCGCCAAGCGCAAGCAGCTCATTGCAGCTTTTGGGCAGTTCAACCTGTTGTCTTTCATGGCATTACATGCAAGAAGAAACCAAATGGAACGCATTCGAGAAAAATAACTTCCAATCGCAAAATAAAGTACCTAAGAAGAAGCAAAGACTGTCGAAACCTCAGCAGGCTGTTAGTAGGATCATTGACAAGCATCTGATGTAAGATAGCCAGAGAACCAACATCATCAACGCTAGACCATCTCTCATAAAGCTTAATCCAGCAATCAGCCAAGCTCCAATGCTGAACCACCCGGCCGCAGCTGATCACTAGCTCAACCACATAACTAGCACACATCTTCCGTCTATACATCATATAATTAGGTTCCAGAGTCAGCATTGCTCGAAGATCTCTTAGAGCGCTATCATAATCCTCCATCGCGATGAACAACCAAGCTCGCAGCTCGAGACAATCAGCTGAGAGCTTGAACCCAATGTACTTATTAATCTCCGATATAGCATCCGACATCTTCCTCTCCTCCACTTTCTTCACTGCTCTAAACTTGTAAGGAAACGATAAGGTTGGATCGAGCTCGGTTGCAGTGTTCAAATCCATGAGCTTCTCTCGGCCAAGGCCATACAGAGACCTCTCCTGATACATCCATCCAACCGGTTTATGCTCAAAGACCAACGAGTTCATCAACCTGAAAGCAGAATACTGCTGGCCTTGTTTGTACTTGGCTCGTGCAACACCAGCCAGAGAGTAAACGTGGCCGCCTGAATCAACTGCTGCTTCGAAATATGATTGAGCGTTCTTGAACTCTCGTCGCTCGAGCATCACACAGCCCAATTGGTGAGCTGCGAGAGCCTTCTGCCATTTCTCGACCCCGAATTCGAGCATGGATTCGAGCAACATGACCGTGATGTTGGATGCCATGCTCTCTTCAATAGCTACTTGGCTGAGAAAATAGTATAGCAGGAAAGTTGCAGGGTGGCCTAACATTGATATTCTTTCCCTAGCTCTAGACCCACAGAGGATTCTGAGTACTTTACGGTTTGAGAGTGAGCTGGGGATGTTCCTGAGGATTACCTGTACGCAAGAAGCAACGAGGAGAGTGGCTGATTCTTCCAGACCGTAATCAATCAGGATTACAGCGTCTTCCAATCTGCGGACCATGGAAGCTAGATGCTGATCGCAGGCGGATTTCATCTCCTCGCAGCAGAATCTGGTGGCGAAGGATAGCAGCTCCAGGACTCTCTCCGGTGAGAAGGAATCGACTCTGTTAACTCTGCTGTAAATCTCCACTGCTCCCATTCCTTCAACGGAGATATCGCTCTTGGATAAATCGATCCTTCTCTTCCTCGACTCCACGAAGCTACCATACAGCATCGCCTTCAACGGGGGTGAGAGAGCGGCGATCCTCGATCTCACGCAACGCACGGTTTCTCCATTAATGCAGAACACGACATCACCGCCGCTGTTCTCGTGACAGTCAGTGATAACCACCGCTGCGGCAGCGGCAGCCGTATCACCGCTGCATCGGCATCGATCGTTGACCGAATTGGGATCGTACCCAGAAACTAGGGCGGCGGATGGACACTCGAGGAAACAATTGCGGCAATCCATGGGGGAGACGCCGGCGAGCTGGTCATCCCTGCGGTCGAATCTCAACCAGGAAGAGAGGACGACCTTGGAGTGAACATCAACGGCGTGTTGCCTGGCGGCGGAGAGGCACTTGCGGGGGAGCTTGGGATCGACCAAGCAAGGAGAAAGCGAGAACTGCTCCATGAGTAGAGTGGATTTATCGGAAGGGCTGGAAACGACGAGCCGGCGGTAGAGGTCAGCTAACGAATCGACGGAGTCGACGGGCTTCAAGTAGGGCTCGATTCTGGGCTCTAGAAGTTCAGTGGTGGGTAGGCCGTAGGGAAGGAGCAGAGATTGATACTGAGATTGGGACGAAGAAGCACTACCGTCGCCGCCGGCGCACTTGGACTTCGAAGACGACGACGTTATGGCCCTGGACGGAGTCCCCGGCGGAGTAGCGGCAGTAGTATTAGTGAAGGCATGAACCTGGGCGCTCTTGAACTTCTCCAACACCTTAAGTCCCCCCATTGTTGCTAATCAATTAGACGTGTAGCGAAAAGGGCTCAGTCTCAGAGAAGGGTGTTTGATTGCCGAGAAAGACGAAGGCTAGCTTCCCATTTCCGCTTGCGTTTGCATTCGCCATTTCCCGAGTAATCGATCTCTGGGATTTTGAGGGGGGGCAGAAAGAATGAAGCTTTCTCTGGCTATTTTATGGTGGCCGGAAAATGGGGTTTAGGTTTGTTGCTTTGTTTTCTCTGATTTGGTGGCTCACTCCATTGGAGAGGGCGGGGGAGAAGGGAAAGGAAAGGAAGGAAGAAGGAGAGTTGCAATTAGAGAAAATAGCCAGTCTCTATCTGCCACGTCGTTACCGGAGCTGATGGCCCTAAACCACTTGGCCCTTGGGTTAGTTTTTATTTTGGTTTTAATTTTTATTTTTTAATCTAGGGAGGAGGTCAAAGACTGGGAAATAGTGTATTAGGTTGGCTTTAGTTGGAATCCTTCTTAATTTTAATATTGTTGTCATTGTTGTATAGTGTTGTGATATATGATACACGATTGAACATCTCTCAAAAACTCGAGTTATTTGAAGCAATTGGTTCTTGACATGGTATCAGAGTCTTTTGTGACCGAGAGGTCTTGTGTTCGATTCCCAGTGACCCACATTTGTTAAGCACATGTATTCTTGTCTTCAGACCTGTGCAAACTTCAAGCCATTGCGAGTGGCTTTCGTTTAAGGGCGCGTGTTAGTGTTGTGGTATATGATCCACGATTGAGCCTCTCCCAACAACTCGAGTTATTGGGACCAACTGATTCATGACATCATCTATGCTTATTTTTCTACTTAATTAGTTTCCATCTATTTGGAATAGAAGTGTAGTAGAAAAAAAAACTAAGATGTATCATCAAATCAAATGATGTTTCTTATTTGTCATATCCTATATTAAAACTCAACAAAAACCAACGCGCAGAGATAGAGCTACATGTAGCCAAATAGAAATTATTTCGTTATAGTTTTTTCAATATTTATGCAAGATACACATCAATTTGAGAAGGAGGTTATTAGAGTCCCTAATGAGATTGTGGGGTGGGCCGGTGGGGGGAGCAAGAATATGAATAAGCATCCAAATGAGCTTTCAAATAGCAATTTGTATGGTTATAGCGAAAAACTCTCATGATCAAGGGTTTTCGTGGGTAGCAACCACCTTTTTCATGCGGAGCAACGATACGATTGTCGCAGAAGTTAAGAGTCTTGTTTGTACTGATTGGTAGGACAACACATCCTGTCATCGCTTCGATTATTCATTCAAGTTGTAAAATCCTGACTCGTGAATACATCCAATGATGCAAGAGTGATAGTCTTTACCTCTTGACATGTTATATGTATTGATTTTTCTGAATACAACTGGTCGAATTGCTATATGACTTCACATCGAGAAGTACAAAACAATCGGATCGATCGGGTAGCTAAAATTTCAGAGAAAACGGAACCCGCTCGTCCGACCGGACTCAGTAGGGTCTACCATGTACCCAACCATTTCCCAATTGAAATGAAGTTGTGTCATATTAAGAAGAAAAATATCAAGTACATAGCAAGGTGGTTGGCATCTAATTTGGAAGAGGTGGGACAGAGATATTGCATCACCATTTTCACTAATTTAATTAGCAATTTGTAGAAGAAGGTAGCTAGCTACCTATCTAGGGTTGAGCTATAAATTACTTACAAAATCCCAGAGGTAAGTGAAGGAAACGTTAATCTCGTATCATAATCGAGATTCGAGAGAGTAGGTAATATAAAATCAAAAGGCTGAGGGGACAGATTAAGCATTAATAATGCAACAAATTGGGGGTTAAGTTGGGACAGCTGAACCCCACACACTAATAAACCCCAATGATTGATCATTAGTTAGGTGGATTAGATCTGAAACATTATGAGCTAGGGTTGGTTCCTTCCTTAATTTTAAAATAATTTGTTACATTATTAATTATCACTTATGCATGTTCCATGTTTGTCCATTTCCTTAATTCCTTCTTAATCACCTTATAATTGCTTGCCAGGTTGTGATTAAATTCATGCACAAATGGGTGAACAGTCTTAGAATTCAAATTACACACAAGAAAGAAGAAAAAATGAAAATGAAGTAGAATGGTATTCAAAGAGAAGAAAGAAAAACCGAAAGTTTCATTAAGTTGATTTATTACTTTTTTTATGTCTCGTTTCAATATATATACATGTATGATTTTATCGATATTCGTTTGAACCCATATAGACGAAGTCATAGAAAGTCGGAGCTGGGTATAATTAAAATTAAGTGATCATTTTGACGGTTGAGGGTCTGGTAACAGTGAGTGAGGGAGTCTGGTTAGGGTATAAAACAATCACTGGCTTATGTTACGGTATTCATCAGTATTTCGATATATTACCGATCTCAATCAAGTAATCTCTGATGCCATATAACACTTGAAATTTAACCCTAATCTCAATCCTATTAAATGACACGTGTATCCAGTAATACAAAATTATTGACAAATTTGATACAGTATTCGGCATATTGCAAACACCAGTACTAAGCTTCCCGCCCTAGCCGGGGAGGCATTAGATCTATGCAGGGGGGATAGCTTGTAAAGAGAAAAGGGAAGGGAACTACAAAGCTTAATCAGGTGTGGTGGCTAGTTGGTTGGGTTTTGTTAGGCTGTTTGCCAGCCCACGTCTGATTCAATCACGATAATAACAAGATCCCAGCTCATACTTTCCTCACTACTTCCTTCCGATCAAAAGCAAAACCCATGCACTAAGAAAGAGTATTTCTAGGAAAAGTAGCCTCTTTTCCATAAGCTTGCAAGTCTTCTCACGACCGGGTACAAGAACTGCTACAGTGAAGATACAACGGAAAAGGACATAATCCGAAAATGTTGGAGCGAATAAAAAAGGTTGGCGTAGCGTATTATGGACAACCCAATCGACATTCTTACTAAACGGACGAATGTTGAAGGGGAAATGGTTTAAAACCAAGATTGGTTTGTGGGCAATCCTAATAGACGATCTACATAAACTACAACAGTAAGATTTAAACCAAAAATCAGTTTGTAGGACCCAATTTGGTAACCAGATCCATGTAAAAATCTCTGGTTGCAGACTCAGGAGAGAAAGGAAATGCTGCAGCAAGGAAGTAATGAGAAGATTCCCTGGAAAACGACTCATCAGCAGAAACAGACAACTCTAACTAAACTAAGCACTTATCCCCACCCAGCAATAAATGAAATGTGCCTACATAAATATTCTACACCTCACCTCTCAATTGATCCCACCACCATTGCACACGAAGAACAAAACAGAAAGTAATTGAATTCAGAAAAGAAACAAGGCCACTCTGTCCCCTGAACCTTTTTCATTTTGGTCATCTTCTGGTGAATTCAGCTCTAAACTTGATAGTTGCAGACACCGAGTGTTTCTTCTGATTATCCTTATAGCTCATTTATTCCACTATATCATACACCATTTCAACAAAGGTAAAAACACGGGTAATAACAGCACACCTGTCCACCATAAGTGTTGGTGTAAACTTTGTGTTCACCATTTTCATCTCTATACATACATCTTACTTACATACATACATATATATGAACATGCATACCATACCTCATTAGAGCACCAGCGAGGTATATCTTACTATCTCCTGCATCAAAAACTCAGGTACCCTCCTTTGTTTTCCCACCTGAAGTATACACAAAGCTATACAGAATTTACTCTAAAGCATCTTCATGATCCAAAGTTTATGCTTCTTGACGTACAGATACACGAGCGCAGGTCCAATCAAACTCGCATCAGACAGCCGCTTGCAGACTTTCAGATACGATTCGACATCTTCCCATTTCTGAATCCTCTTCCTTACCCCTTGCATTACAGCCACCCTGTCCAAATAATCGGGACACAACCCCGAATCGAGCATCCTAGTCAGCACTTCTGCCGCCTCGTCGTAAAATCCTCCTTTAACATAGCCTCTCAACAACCAAGACAGCGACTTCTTCTTACGTAGAGAGCTCATAACATCGATCCTTGAAAGCAACCGAGCAATTGCCGCGCTTTCATTTCTCGAGGCGCAGATTGCTAAGACCATGTCGTAAAGATCCCCATCGGCTTCTTTACCCACGAGCTTCATTTCCCACAGCTGTCTCTCGGCTTCTAGCCCACGCCCAGCGCATATGTACATGGCGAGAAGGCGTTCATGGACCACACCAGAAAGTGAGGGACTTCCTTCTTCGATTACCCATCTAGATATGTGTACACCATCTTCTAGAAGCTCGGATTGGTATGTCTCCACGAGTTTCACATTCTCAGGGTCAAGTTCAGCAACCGAGCCGGACCTCGAAAAGCTTTTCAGTTTGCGTAAGGCTTTAGCGAGCTCATTTAGCTCTTTGACTACAGCTGTCATTGCGATGAGGTAGGCATAGACTTCTGGCTTCAGTCCGGACTCTTTGAGATTGATGACCATTTTGACAGCTTCTCTGTAGTTTCCATCGACCTGAAAGAACAGATTTCAAATCATTGTTCACACACGGAGTGAGAGGCTTGTTAAAAGTAATTGTTTTCTTTCTGCCCGAGTGTGCAGTGAAAGGGTATCAGACGATTCAGGCAAATAAAAAGCTTGCAGAAGCATATATATACTGACAGCGTTCTTTCCTTACCAGAAACCCGAGAAGAAAAGAGCACATTCAAGCAGATGCAAACATTCTCCTAAGCCTTTTCATGAGTAAGAAACTAAAGCCATGACTAAGCCTATGACTTCTACTGAATCCATGTATCTCTTCATTGGTTAATTTGAGTTTTCCCTTTTTATATAGCTCTGTTGTCCTGAGGCTTACATACCGTAGTCTCCAAGAGATGTCTGATAAGTAACTTCTATCAGCCAGACAGCAAGTGAGAAACAAGTGTTTGATGATAACATCATAAACAAGAGCTCAGGAGAACCAAATCTACATTTTAGTTCTCAGTTAGGTGTGCGGCATGTTTGATGTGCTACCACCAAAGAGTAAATCCAATGAATACTTTTTGACATGATCGATCACTAAGTGTAGCGCAAACTGGCATCATTTCTATCAAGAGAAAACAGCTAGATAAGTAAACCACCATACAATCAGATAATACTTCTTTCATGAACCATGAGTGAAGATATGCCAGAACATGCCCTCATAGTCATAGAGCTAAGAGAATTATATGCAGTGGAAAATCGCAGGGTAACTAGAAGCAAGTCAACAACAAGAAACCATTTTCGACAAAGTAAATAGAGGTAACAGAAACCTTACCATCATCTTCCACACAAGATAA